GTATGATTCAAAAGTAGATAAAAATATATATTTAATCAAATATTTTGTTCGAATGGAGTTTGATCACTTTATAATCTAAAAAAATAAAATTATCTTGAAGTATGATTATTTCTCATCTATATAATATAATTATAATATAATAAATATCACATCAAATGAGAAACATTTTTTGGACGATTCTAATCCTACTATAATAAATCATTTCAATAATACCTTACTTTTTCGTTTTTAATATATAATTAATTTATTTAACTATTTAGTTACAATCAATATACATATACATTATTTGACGAATTCATTTCACCTATATGCTTTAACTAAAGTATGAATTCCATATTATTAATTCTCAATTAATTAATATTTACATTCATTTAATTAATATTTATTTTTATTTATACATTTCAGTACTATTAATTCTAATTATAAGTTGATTAGAATTTTACATTCAATAATGCAATTTATTATTCAAGTCCATATGCTAATTAATATTCAGTTTTACTTAATTGAAAATTAAATAAATGATTTAACATTCACCGTCACGTATATATCCACTAATATTAATTTTAAATTAATTAATTTTCACACATATTCAAATATTATTTTTATAATACTTATAAAGTATTTCATAATAACGTTCAACGAACGTTGAACGTTGAGTAGCTCTACCTAAAAGACTGCAAAAGAAAAAGTATTTAGTAAGATGCTACATTCAAGGTTTCATGCGTAATGCAAGTACTCGATCAATCGGTTCCGCTTGGTGTACAGGAGCAAGTTTCACAGGAGTTTTACAGGGGGTGATGTGGCAATAAAATAAAAAAGAAAGAGAAGAAACCAAAAAAAAGGTAAATTTGTCGGAACCCTTTCACAATTGGAATCCCTTCAATGACTTTCATTTCTCCGCAAATTGGAATCCCTTTAATGTCTCCATTCCCATATACACTTTCCTCCGTCATACGCCGGTGAGACTACACGATTGAAATCATCTCCATCTCTGGCCGGATACAAAATCGGCGAAGAAGAAAAAGAAGCAACCGGACCCAGAAGTTTTTGCCGACATCGAAAATTGTCCAGCCCTGCTCCGAACTTCTGCCGTCGCGAAGGGACCACCACAGAAATATCCT